GCCTTTCCTAAGCAAAGAACTTGGTAAGTGCCCTGGTGGCGTTCAGCTTCTCTTCAAATTTGAGCACTCTGTCACCAGAATTCAAGCAAAGAATGGGTGGCCCCTTTGGGGGTTGTTGGAAAAAGGTTCACAGGACTCCCAAAGGCACCTTCAAACTCTAAAAAAATGTAAGTCCTAATGATGTAGGGCTAAACTGTTTTGAAAAAGAAAAGAGTTGTTTAGTAAACTCCTTTTTTTCTTTTTTGAGGCAGAGTCTTACTCTGTCACCCAGGCTGGAGTGCAGTGGCATAATATTGGCTCACTGCAACCTCTGTCTCCCAGGTTCAAATAATTCTTATGCCTCAGCTTCCCAAGTAGCTGGGAATACAGGCATGTGCCACCACACCCAGATACTTTTTTATATTTTTAGTAGGGACAGAGATTCACTGTGTTGGCCAGGCTGGTCTCAAACATCTGGACTCAAGCGATGCACGTGCCTTGGTCTCTCAAAGTGCTGAGATTACAAGGTATGAGCCATCATGCCTGGCCTAGTAAACTCTTCATAGAAAAGGTGAGGACTAATCTGCCTCTTTAAAGTTGGAGATGGTTGGGAAAACAGAAAGAAGAGTCACTCTGCAAAGAACCAATAGGAAATATATATATATACACACACACACACACACACACATATATATATATATATATATATATATATATATATATACATATATATATATATATATATTTTTTTTTTTTTTTTTTTTTTGAGACAGAGTCTCGTTCTGTCACCAGGCGCCAGGCTGGAGTGCAATGGCGTGATCTCGGCTCACTGCAACCTCCACCTCCCGGGTTCAAATGATTCTCCTGCCTCAGCCTCCGGAGTAGCTGGGAGTAGATTGCAGGCATGCACCACCACACCCAGTTAATTTTTGTCTTTTTAGTAGAGACGGGGTTTCTCCATGTTGGCCAGGATGGTCTTGATCTCTTGACCTCATGATCTGCCTGCCTCGGCCTCTCAAAGTGCTGGGATTACAGGCATGAGCCACCGTGCCCAGCCAGGAACTATTTTTTAAACCTGCAATGCCAAAACAATCATGCCCCTTTCACCTATTCTGGGTAATGTAGAGAAACCCCATCTGTACCAAAAAAAAAAAAAAAAAAAAAAAAAAAATTAAAAATAGCCGGGCAGGATAGCTAAGACCTATTCTTCTTCTCATCCATTCATGGTGTTATGGGCCATCATCCTCCCAGTCCCTTTCTCAGTCACTTGCAATCCTTTGCCTCTCTCAATCCTCACATCCCATTGGTTGCTAAACTGTTCCACTTTTCTCACTGCAGTAAGTCCTGCATCTGCTCCTTCTGCTTCATTTGCGCTATCATTGGCTTTGTTCACGCTATCATCACCTCTCATCTGGATGAGTACAATAGCCCTTGGGACAGATACAGTGTTGCCAAATTAATTACCCTGAATCAATGCTCTGAATATGTCAATCCCTGGCTCCAAATCCAAATGCTTCATTCAGTTCCCATTGCCTTCACAATAAACATGAAATTTCTTAGGCATTCCAGGCTTTCATGATCTGGCAGAGAATGAGCAAGGAGAAAACAAGACAGAGAGGGTATTGATTAAATTCTGTATGAACTTCTTTCCTTCTTTCCTTCCTTCCCTCCCTCCTCTTTCTTTCTTTCTTTCTTTTTTTTTTTTTTTTTTTTTTTTTTTTGAGTCTGAGTCTCACTCTGTTGCTCAGGCTGGAGTGCAGTGGTACAATTGTGGGTCACTGCAGCCCTGACCTCAGCTTTCTAGCGGTCCTCCTGCTTCAGCCTCCCAAGTAGCTGTGACCACAGACACATGCCATCCTGCCTGGCTAATTTCTTATTTTTTGTAGAGACAGGGTTTCTCTATGTTGCCCAGGCTGATCTCAAACTTCTGGGTTCAAGTGATCCTCTCACCTTGGCCTCCCAAAGTGGTATTTCAGGCATGAGCCACTGCACCTGGCATCTATATTAGTTTCTTAAGACTACTGTAACAAATGACCAGGAACTGGTGAACCAAGTGGCATGAGACAAAAGAAATTTAGTGTCTCAGAGCTCTGGTGTCTGGAAGTCACAAATCAAGGTGTCAGCAGAGCTGTGTTTCCACTGGAGGCTTTCTTTCCTGTTCCTAGCTTCAGGGGGCTCCTGGCAAACCCTGGCATTCCTTGGCTTGCGGCTGCATAACTCCAATCTCTGCCTCTGTCTTCACATGGCCTTCCTCCCTATGTGTCCAAATCTCCCTCTCTTTTCTCTAATAAAGACACTAGTCAGGCCAGCTGTCCGAGGTGGGGGTGATCATCTGAGGTCAGGAGTTCAACAGCCTGGGCAACATGGCAAAATCCCGTTTCCACTAAAAATACAAACACTAGTTGGGGATGGTGGCACACATCTGTAATCCCAGCTACTTGGGAGGTTAAGGCAGAAGAATGGCTTGAACCTGCGAGGCAGAGGTTGCAGTGAGTTGAGATTGCACCACTGCATTCAAGCCTGGGTGATAGAGGGGAGACTTCATCTCAAAAATAAATAAATAAATAAATAAAGACAGACACTAGTCACTGGATTTAGGGCCCATCCTAACGCAGCATGGCCTCATCCTAACTTATCTGTCAAGACCCTGCTTCAAAATAAGGTCACATTTACAGGTACTGAAGGTTATGGCTTGTACATACTTTTTGGGAGATGCAAATTCAACCCTCTACAATTCCCATTGGTAGAAACTGCCAGAATAATGGTTTAGCATAGGGAGGGCATCTTGGTTGTGAAAAGGTCCCGGATGAAGTGAAGAATTTCAGGAGCGGTGGGAGGTAATATTAAATACGGTATGCCAGAGAAGTTTTCTGAACAGTAGAATAGTATGCATGATCAAAGGATAAAATTTTAATTTTGTGAAAAATCAGTCTGGAAGCGGGATTTAGGAAAGATTACAGGAGGCAAAGCTAGGAAGGTTAAGAGGATGTCTCAGTAGCCCAAAAGTGAAGAGGTAGACACAGACCTAAATTGTTAGCCTCAAAGGGCTGGAAATGTCACCTCTTTTTCTCAGCAACAGCTGAGAGCCTGTAGCCAAAAGCCTACAACTGTGTTTGTAACACAGTAGGGTACTCAGAACACATTTGCTGAACATGTGATTGAACAGACAAAGTGAGATTGCAGCAGTAGGAATGGAGGGAAGGAAAGATGCAGCAGGCCCTTCAGAGGCGGACTGAGACAGCTGGCTCCACAACAAGGTAGGGCTGAAGTAGTGGTCCTTCTGTGTGCACAGAAGACTGGTTCCACGAACACCCAAAACCACGCTTACTCAAGTTCCGCAGTCAGCTCTGCAGAACCTGCAAAGAGGAAAAGTTGGATGTCTCCGTTTTGACCCGTGCCAAATACCGTCTTTTCCTTCCTCCCTTCCTTCTTTTCTTTTCTTTTTTTTTTTTTTTTTTTTTTTGCTTTTCTCTCTTTTTCTTCCTTCCCTCCCTTCCTTCTTTTTCCTTCCTTTCTTCCTTTCTTTCTCTCTTTCTTTCTTCCTTTTTTTTCTTTCTAACAGGGTCTTGCTTTGTTGCCCAGGCTGGAGGGCAGGGGTGTGAACACGGCTCACTGCAGCCTCGACCTTCCAGGCTCAAGTGATCCTTGAGCCTCTCCAGTAACTGAGACTACAGCCACGTGCTATCTTGCCTGGCTATTTTTAATTTTTTTTTTTTTTTTAAGTGATGGGGTTTCTCTACATTACCCAGGCTGGTCTCAAACTCCTGGTCTCAAATAATCCTCCCGCCTCGGCCTCCCAATGTGTTGGGATTACAGGCATAAGCCACCGTGCCAGAGCACGCATACTGTATTTTCAATCAGACTTTGATTGAAAACAAGCCACGTGTAAGTGGACTCGTGCAGTTCAAACCTGTGTTGTTCAAAGGTGAAGGGCTGCATCACTCAAAGTCAGGCTCGTAGCCTGGCACCTGTTGGAGGCAGACGGAGCCTCTCCTAGCACCTGCCGCACAGTCTAAGGTAATGTCTCCACGCCCTCCCTTCACCTTAGCGTGTGCTTCTGCACTGTGCTATTCATGTTTCTGTGTGACCTCCACAGCACTCTGCACACAGTAGGACCTCCGTGCATCTTCCAGTAAGTGGATTTCTACATTTAAGCAAAATTAAAAGATTCCTGGATCTAAACTCTGGATTTTTTTTTGACTTCTGTACGCTTCAAAATGCCTGGCACTCGGTGAGCGCCCCCTAAGCACTTGTTGAACCAAACGGAATAAATCCGATTCGCCCAGTTCCGCCCTGGCAGAGAGGTCTGCGTTTGGCAGGATGACAGAATCCGTTGCTATTAAATTCTTATGTAAGAGTTAATGGCCCTCCCGGTCCACTTGACATCCCTCCCACGACAGGGGAGGCCGAGAAGGGAAGGAAGAGCACGGTTCACACACACACACACTGTTTCCGTGGGGGATTCACAGATTCATTTCTAGTCTCGGTTCACCACAGAGATCTTGAAACATCGCTGCAGGCTCCGTGTGGGACAGAGGGGGCGGCGTGCCGGGGCCCGGAGGGGAAGGCCTGGCCACCCCGCGCGGCGAGCCGCGGCCCTTCCGGCCGCCCCGGACTCCGGCTGGCAGCCGCCCCAGAAGGCGGTGTCCGGGGGGCCCCGCGGGCGCGGGTGCCGGCTCGGCCTGGGAGGTCCCCTGGGGAAACAATGCGCTCGGCCCCGGACTCCCGCCGGCCCTGAGCGCCGCGCCGCTCGCCGCTCCCCTCACTGCCGTCCCGCCGCTCCAGGGGGCGCGGCGCGCGGCGGATCCCGGCCTCTCCCGAGCCCCGGCGGGCGGCGGGCGCGGAACATGGCGGCGCGGCTCGGCCGGGGGCAGCCGCGAGGGGCCGCGGCGCTGCGCTCTGGGCCGGGGCCGCGCGGCTAGAGCGGCGCCTGGGCCCCGCGGCGAGGCCTCCTCCCCGCCCGCCGCCGCCGCCGCCGCCGCCGCCGCGCCCCGCCCCGCGCGCCCGCCCCTCCCCGGGCCGCGGCCGTGCCCCGCGTCGCGCTCCCCCGGGATGGCCCGCGCGCCTCGGCGCTGCCTCTCGGAGCTCACGGCGGAGCGGCGGCGGCCGCGCTCGGGGGGCGCGCGGCTGCGGCGGCGGCGGCGCCGCGCGTGAGGGGCCGCCTCGGGCCGAGCGGGCGCGGCGAGCGGCCGGGCGAGCGCAGCCAACATGTCGGATACCAAGGTAAAAGTTGCCGTCCGGGTCCGGCCCATGAACCGACGAGGTGAGGAGCTTTCCGCTCGGTTTTATTCCTGCTCGGGCTGAGGGCGGGGGCGACTTTGGAAACTGCGGGGCCCGGGCGGCGAGAGCGCGGCCGGGGGCGCGGGGGCCCGGGGGCCCGGGGCGGAGGCGGTGTCCGCGCCGGCCGCGGTGCCCGGGGCGCGGTCTCCAGGCTCGGCCGCCTCCCGGGACGGAGCCCCGCGCGGGCTGGAGGCGCGGGCGCTGGACTTTGCAACGTCCCTGTCCCTCTGCGCTTTCAGAACTGGAACTGAACACCAAGTGCGTGGTGGAGATGGAAGGCAATCAGACGGTCCTGCACCCTCCTCCTTCTAACACCAAACAGGGAGAAAGGTACGGCGGGTTCCGACAGGGCGGCTGGGGAGGATCCAGCCCCGCGGGGTCCTGCAAGTTGGAGCCACGAAAACGGGAGCGCTCGGTCCTATTGTTAGGAGGGCGGCTTCAAGTTTGTCGCCCGCTCCTGTTGGAAGCGGTTGCAAGTCCAAGTTCCTCTCCTCCCTCGCCCGCTTTCCCTCCATCTAGAGCTGCGGCAGGCAGGGCACCCGGGCCACCGCCAGCACCAGTCAGCTGAGACCTGGCGGGCTGCGAGGCACCCGGAGGGAGAGGGCCGGATGGGACGCCAGAGGTGAATCGTCCAGCCGCCACATTTTACAGACAGGATAACTGAGGCCTGAGGCGCGCAGGGGACCAGCCCACGACCTCATTGTTCGTGGAACCCAGTGCCCGTGATTCTTTTGATCACTGCGGCGTTTGTTTCCTTTGGCAGAATTGTTGAGGGACAGTGTGTGTAAAATGGGAGGAAAAAAAAAACAAAACGAAGCGAAAGAGTCTTGTAAGCTTCAGACTCAGGCTGGACTAGTTAATATCTATTTTGGTTCCTGCTGCTGAGTTGAGATAATGCCTCAATGTAATGCACGAATTTTGATTTTCAAGGAAACAAAAGTAGAGACCTGAACTGTATAGACATCGAGGGATGTTCTAAAAGGGGCTGTATTAACTAGAAGGCAACATATTTGCATTTGAAAAGTGGTAACTGTTGGATCCTTATTAATTCTGTTCTGTTCCATGCAGCAGTATGGGATAATGCCCCAAAATAATTTGAATATTTGGCATTTTTCTAGTAAGCCTCTGAGAAGAAATCGGTTGGAATTGATTCAATATAATAATGCAGTAGCTTGTAAATATCCGTATGTGAAAAAGAGGGAGAGTTTACAAAATTAATTTTCATTGGAAATGAATGAGTTTCTGTTTCTAAGAATCACCTGTTGATCGATGGACTGCAATTTAGTGAATTTCATTGTTTAGAGACTTTCATTGAAGAGAGACTCTGAAGCAGGGTTTGTGACATTATTAAGCAATGCCTCCATTCTATAATGTGTGGTGTTCAAGCTCAGTTTTGCCAAATCTGGGGAAAGAAATCATGAGGAGGTAAGATTGGGGATTCTTTGCTTTTCGTGTTGAGCATAGCAATTTTTATCCAGTTTGCAAACATTCTGCTACCTTTAGCAGATTCTGATGGTGATATTAAATAGCTCAGCTATATTTAGAATGTTGTATTTAACATTGAATGTAGTAAATATTGTACATTATACTGAATGTTGTTTGGTAATGGATGTATTTTTAGATGCATTTATAGCAGTGTAGATAATTTATTTTATGATAGTAAACTCCTTGAGTACATTAAATATTTACAGATTAAATTAGATGCCCATATCACCAACGAATGTTTTTTCCCCTCTAAATTGGATATTGTTATACTGTTTAGGGAAAAAATTCTGTTGGGTCAGATTCTTGAAAGCAGTCTGGGGTAACAGGTAGAATATTTTTTAGCTCCGGTCGTGTAGCTGCTGCTTGTTTTCCTTGTTGGTTTGGCACCTGCTCCTTGTCACTCCATAAGGAGTGCGACTGTTAGCTACTGTTTAGTGACATGAAGTGTTGTCATTTGTGAAGAGAAACAGATTTAATTTTGTGGAATTTGGATACAATCCGTAACTGTGGACAGTTGGTTCCAAATGCTAAGTAATCAGTTGATCATTTTTCAGGCTGAACCACATTAGTTACTAATCAGGATGTTTTAGGTAAAGATTTGAAGAGTGACTTCAGGATCTATTCATCTGCTTACCTAGTGGGATAGGCCCTTATCTGGAGCTATAAAAATAGCATTGAAATGTGGGTACTGTTGTGTTTTGACCTTCTGACAGATCTAATTCTTCGAGTAGCAGATGAGCTTTCTATGGGACTCTGACCTAGTACCGGTCATTTCATTTACAGACAAACTGAGGAGTCAACACAACAGTGCTCCTTGTACATTAGAATAACTGTCTTTGCACAGATGAAGACACCAAATGCATTTTTATTTTCATTATGCAGCTTGGTTTCACATTTCTCCACAGACTTTTTCCTTAAAGTAACAGTGCCTTTAAAAATAGAAAATTTCTCCCTTGGGCTCTGGGCTGATTAATTGCAACAATGTTTCATGCTATGTTTGCAAGCAATTCTGTCATTGGTTTTTAGATAGTGCACAGGGCAGGGCAAAGGTGAAGAGTAGAATACGGAGAATGTTACTATGTTTCATATCTACAAGTTCATGGTTTGAAGTGTAAGAGGTCTTTAAATGCATACTGGCAAACCTGTGTCAAATTGAGGATTACTGTTTTTCTGAAAGTTGCAAGAAATTACCAATGAATTAACCGTGGGTAGAAATTCAAAGTTAGTGGGTGAAAGTTTTCAGTCTTACCAGTAAAAACAAGTGAGAGTGCATTGATGTCCAGGGGGGAAAAAAAAAAAAGCAGATGGTGTCGGCTTTCATCATTTCCCCATTTTACAGAACCAAAGCCAAGACTGTAGCTAGGACTAAAAGATCAGAGGACCTCTGAGGTTAAAGATGTTTGTTTTTGGTGGTGAAATTCTAATATTGTAATACATTGCATGCATCCAGGTTAGTAGTTGATATGTATACTGATCTCCATTCTGAAACATTAAGATATATGGATTTGTTTCTTAAAATACCATTGCATTGCTATCCAGGAGACATTTATGAAGTTCAGATTATTTTAGTACCATGCTTAGCATAGAGGATTCAAAGGTACTTGTGGATTCAGTACCTACACCAGAGTCACTCACCTTGGAGAGATGTGGGGAGAGAGGGGAAAAAACAGTTATAATACAATGTCGTAAATTAGGCTGGGGTATACTTTTGCCATTTCATGGACCACATAATTTTGAAATTCTCTACTTCCTTTTCTTTCTCTCCCTTGAGGCTGTGAGTTCCCTGAAGGCAGGTACCTTGTCCTACTTCTTTTTGTGCTCTTGCTCTGGCATACTGCCTGGCATGTAGCAAGGGCTTAGCAAATGTGATGGGAACATTGAGGAGGGGCTGTGGATGCTACCCAAGGTCCTGGCAAGCTGCCAAGACAGGTGCCGTTTGTGTGGTCTTATGGATGCTGAGGGTATAGGTTCACTTTTGCAAGATGAAGAGAGAGTCCTTTGCCAGTGAAAGTGAAGGCATACCTGCCACACATTGCTTCAGGGTGATTGTATGTGTGTGAGTCTGGGTGTGGAGTATGATTCAGAAACAAGACAGTTCTGGGCTGGGTGAGGTGGCTCACATCTGTAATCCCAGCACTTTGGGAGGCCAGGGGGGGCAGATCACTTGAGGCCAGGAGTTCAAGACCAGCCTGGCCAATATGGTGAAACCCTTTCTCTACTAAAAATACAAATATTAGCTGAGTGTGGTGGTGTGTGCCTATAATACCAGCTGCTCGGGAGCCTAAGGCAGGAGAATCACTTGAACCTTGGAGGTGGAGGTTGCCATGAACTGAGATCGTGCCACTGCACTCTAGCCTGGGCAGCAGAGTGAGACTGCATCTCAAAAAAAAAAAAAAAAAAAAAAAAAAAAAGAAGCAAGACAGTTCTGGGGGTGGAGTGGGTGTGGGTGAAGGGATGGAGTGAGGTGAAGGGAGTGATGCAATGAGAATCCCTAACTTGCTAAAAAGGGTGACAAACACAGTGAAACGTCTTCCTCTTCACCCCTACTATCATCTCTACTTTGCCCATCACTTCACCTCTCTGAAAATGGGTAGCCACAGTCATTTATTTCTCATGCCTTTTTTTGAGATATATATGTTCATTTTTAATATGTACAAATATATATACAAATAAGTATCTTACATATTTTAAGAAATAGCTTTGATATCTTTTAATATCAGCATATTAATACTTACTCATTCTTTTTTTTACTTCCAGTGTGAATGGTAGTGGTGGTTTTTAAAAATATAGGTGGTTGGCTTATGGGTCTGATCCCCATGACTCTTAGGAAGTGATGCTATGCTGTGAAAAGAATATAGTGCAACTTGCTTTTTACAGAAGTTTTTGTTCTTAATTATTTTATGTAAGTGAATTGTAAGGTAAGACTCCAAAATAAAGTTTATATCTAACCTACTGCATAAAAATAAAATGTTGGGCTAAATATGGGCTCTCAGTAGAAAAGTATCAAAGATTTTAGCCTCCTGTTCATTTTTTCCATATGGCAGGATGAACAATACACCTTGCAAATCATCTGAGGGAGGGTCAGTGGAAGAAAGATTCCTCTTAATCAACTTTGTAAATATTTCTAGTATAGTCACCAACAGTTGAGTATACCTATCTGAACATCTGAAATCCAAAATGCTCCAAATTCCTGGGGGCCAGGTGCGGTGGCTCATGCCTATAATCCCAGCACTTTGGGAGGCAAAGGCGGGCGGATCACCTAGAGTCAGGGGTTTGAAACCAGCCTTGCCAACATGGTGAAATCCCTTTTCTACTTTAAACAAACAAACAAACAAACAAACAAACAAACAAACAAAAACATAAAACCACAGGCACACATCTGTAATCCCAGCTACTCAGGAGGCTGAGGCAGGAGAATCACTTGAACCTGGGAAGTGGAGGTTGCAGTGAGCCTAGATTATGCCATTGCACTCCAGCCTGAGTGACAGAGTGAGAGAGAGACCCTATCTCAAACAAACAAACAAACAAACAAACAAACAAAAACCTCTCAAATCCAAAACTTTTTGAGTGCCAAGATGATGTTCAAAGGAAACACTTGCTGGAGTATTTTTTGGATTTTGGATTTTTAATTAAGTATGCTCATTTGGCAAGTATATAATGCATATATTCCAAATTCAAGAAAAATTGAAAATCTGGAATCCAAAACACTTCTGGTCCCAAGCATTTTGGATAAGGGCTGTTCGGTCTGTATATGTTGCAAGTTTTTATTTCTACGCTGGCTTCCTTGGCCATCCTAAAGGCTTCTAGGATGGTTCCTTGGCTCCAGTGTATTTATAGACCAGAGA